TCATCTGAACACCATCTGTGAATAGAGAAACAGAGAAAGAAAACTCGAAATGGGTCAGGGAAATCCCCCCTGTGCTGAGCAGTGATACCGAATAGACTGCCGTTAAAGGAATTTATCTTTGTGAAATCCTTCGTGTGGTGAATATTAACACCAAAGAGACATTTATTCCCCTCACTTCCCCTTTGTCACAGTCCCTCCTCCGACGCCAACTGCAGAATGGATGGATACAGAAGAAGCCAGTTCATTATCTCTCCACCTGCCATCCTTAAGGCCGGTGAAATGGTAATAATGAAAGTAAAATTGAACCTTATATGCCTTATATATATATATATATATATATATATATATATATATATATATATATATATATATATAGATAGATAGATAGATAGATAGATAGATAGATAGATAGATAGATAGATAGATAGATAGATAGAGATAGATAGATAGATAGATAGATATATTACTATTGGATTTACAGTGGTGATTATGATATGGCGAGGATGTTCAGAAAGAGGGGCAGTAGTGGTCTAGAGGGGGGGAGGGGTCGCCCCCCATCTTTAGTGGCCCCTTCAACTTCTTATGAAAATGTTATTTTGGTAAATACAACTCGCAACTGTGTCCACAATCTGCTCAGATGACTAGTACGAAAATAGGTTAATATGATTATGGCTTTCTATAAATAAATATATATTCGTTTGTATGTATGTATATATACACAAATATATATATACATGTACAACATATATGCGTGTGTGCGTACGTGCGTGTCTGAGTGCGTGCGTGCGTGTGTGCATGTATATGTGTTGGTGTACAAGTTTTTTTTTTTTTTTACTGGAAGTAGCATTGATATGATGCATGTTGTCAATATTATGTTATAGATATAATAATGACAGATAGAAACAACGAATAGCAACATAACTGCAATGATTTTCGTAATGAATATATTATAATATTCCTAATGATAATTGCAACGATATACATTTATCGTCACTGTAATAACAATAACAATAATTTTTATCATTTTAATTACTGTTAGTACTACAGACATCAATGATATTAGCTAATTATCACCATTTTAATTATATTCACTACGATTTTTGTCATATTGATTTTTATCACTGTTTATATGTCTTTGTTATCATCACTATGGTTACATGACCACTGTCAACATACTGTTTTACAGATTTTGATATCAATAGAACTACTTATTTCATTGGCATTGCTTCATCCTTTTATTCTATTATTATCATTATCATCATCATCTTTATTTCTTGGTCTTACTGCTATTAGTGTTGTTAGTGTTACCAATATTATCGTTAATTTTAGCTCGAAATATTTTTCAAATCAGTTTACTATTATTATGACAATGATAATGATGATGAGAATAACAAAAAGGATGAGGATAACAATGATGGTGATGATAGTAATTGTTAATAATAATAATAGTAATAATGATAATAATTATTATAATTAATCAATATTATTATTATTGATAATGATATAAATAACGATGATGATAATAATAATACTAGTTATGATAATAATAATGATAATGATAACAACATTGAGCCTAGTTAGATTTATATCATTATTATCATTATCATTTTTACAATTACTGTAATATTAGCAATAACATTACTGTTTGTATAATTATCATTATTATTAACAAACAGCAATAATGATAACAATAACAACAGTAATAATGATGATGATATTGATCATTAAAATAAAAATAATAATAAGGATAGCAATGATAACAACAATAATAGTGATGGTAATAATAGTGACAATAAGAATGATAGTAATAATAATGATAATAGTAATGATGATAATAATATTAGTAGTAGTAGCCAATAGGAATAAGAATTATGGAAATGGCAATAGTAACGGAAATCATACCAACAACAAATGTGATAATAAAAATTAAAGCAGGAACCATTACCCTCATATCGATCGGGTGCAAAATTTCCTAATACATAATGCAAAAACACATCATGAACCACATTGAAACTCGCAACGTTCTTGCAGACTCATAACATTGAAACTCGCAACGTTCTTGCAGACTCATAACATTGAAACTCGCAACGTTCTTGCAGACTCACAACGCTGTTTTCGGTCAAAACGATCACGCGAGACAAGTAATCACAATCCATCATGACACTGTCCGACAACTAGACAGACATGACACGAAACAAATCGATGCCATAATGCTCGCCTTTGTCAAAGGCTTCGACACATTCCTTCACAAAAGACTGACAAATTACGGTATTACGGGATCACAGGACCATTTTTTCCTGGATCACTGAACCTCTAACAGCTTGATGGCTCTGACCCTGCTTCTTCTAGCGTTCCGAAAGGCACCGTCATCGGCTCCCTTCTTTTCGTTCCGTTGATGAACGACCTTCCACTATCCACACTTAACTCTTCCGCTAGATAAGTTTGCTGACAAGTCTTTTATTTCGACTAGTTAACACTGAAGACGACTGCAGACTCCAACATAATGTAGATGCCCTTGAACGATGGGAAAGATCATTTAAAATGGCCTTCAGACCAAACAAGTGCAAGGTACTACGTTTCCCCAGATCACATACACCGATACAACACACCTGCACTCTACCAACCAACAACTGACACCCACAATATCCTACAAATACCTTGAAGTACACCTTACTAACAATCTCACCTTTAACACTCACGCCGAGTTTATCACGAACAAAACAAACGGAACACTTGGGATCCTGAGGAGAAACCTACACAAATGTACACCAGACATCAAACACATAACAACATAACACACGTGTACGCCCAACACTCGAATATTGTACGGCTGGATGGGGCCCAACACAAGTTCAATTTGGAGAAGCTCGAAAGGTCAAGACTACAGCAGTAAGTTTAATACACAATTGCACGCATACACCTGGTATAACAATTCATAAAAAAAGATAACTATGAACCTGCTAGAGACACGAAGGCAAACCTACAGACTTATAATCATATAAAATATAAAAAACATATAATCATATACAGATTAGAAGCAACCTTATGGACATAACGAGCAGCACATACACGTATCACACGAAACTCACATAACAATAAGTTCCTTACAAACTACACCAACACCGACTCTTATTACAAGCACTTTTTTCCCACGTACCATACGCGACTGGAATAGTCTGCCTCAACAGATCATTGAAACAAATACGCTTAAAACCTCTACTGACAAATTAAACAACCACGTAACAAAACAAGTACCTTCACAAACACGAACACTACCACTTATACCTTAATCTTTTTTCCACATCCCCAGCAACCAACTATATATGTATGATATGAGATTACCAGCGCCCTACGTATTAACAGTGAGATTGAGAACAATGACATGCATATTCTGGCAGCAAGAACAACAACGATATTGGTTTTGAAATGATATATCTAAGGATCAGATAAATGGTAATCATGGAACCGGTATTATTCATGGTGTTTGCATTAACCTTATCAATACTAATTGTGTAAACGAATTTGTTATTATAACTTTGTCAGTCAACTAAATCGTACTAACTTGATATATGATGATCTATTAAAAATATATTGCTATTCAGTATTTGAAGACGAAACATTTGTTAGTGTGATTTGGTGGATATTGTTAAATAAGTGATTTATAACCTTATTTGCTTGAAGATATTGATTTATTTTAGATGTATCCTCGGAAGAAAAAGGATATAGGGGCACATACATATTCAGTATTGATATTATTATTTATATTATTACTATCATTATCATTATTATTATCATCATCATCTCATCATCATCACTACTAACATCGTTATCATTGATATTGTCAGAATTATTATATATAGTAGTAAATATCTTTATTAATATTAGTGCTAGTTGTTGATGACTGACGACAATTTTGTGATTGTGATGACTGGCTGAATACAACATGCCCGAATAATATTGTTGTTTCTCAAAGAATTATCATTACTAACTTTTCAGTCACAGGACAATTTGTATTGCTAACCTTTCATTTACCAAGTAATTAACACCACCATCCTGGCAAGTGCATCTGGTCCTCGCCAATTATAATCGTACGTACGGTCACTGATTGAAATTTAAGCGGTTATTAGAAACTATTTATTACGCACAGCTGTCCTACTAATTCTGACCCAAAAAGTTTCCATATTAATCCACTGATTCGAGTTAATGGGTAATCCTTTTGCTGGCCTAGTGTAGATTACATTCTTTAGTTTGTTTTTGCCAAGGCTTTAGACCTGTCAACAGCTATATTAATTAGTATTAATTATCTATGGATGTTCATAATACAGTGTAAAGTAAATCCTTTCTTGTCTGCTGTGATTATTCTCTTCAGATCAGCTTTTGGCGCTACATATCCCGAAGGCCTTTATGATTGTTTATTAAATGTGTTGAAGCTTAAATGAACATGTGTTCCTTTTTTGCATGCAGATTTTATGCAGTGAGAATGGGTAATACATGTGTATATATATTTTATGGAAACTGGAATAATACTCGTTAAAAATCGGCAGTTATCTATTTATAATAAGCCTTACAACTTGCCCCGAGAGGTAATGCAACTCTGATCTTCATTTTTTATTTGCACTTTATACACAAAATTTAAGATATCACTTACGCCCGATTGTCTCTAACCAAATTTACGAAATTTAATCAGTAAAGGTGTAAAAGCTTATCTATGGATGTCCCATAAACGATATGGATATCTTTTTCTTATGAATTGAGTATATGTATGTCTGCGCGACCGTGCGACTGCTTTCAAGGATTTGTTCTTTTAAAAGGAGGCTGTGACTATATTTCTTAGCATTCACTACAGTTCAGTTAATGAAGAAAATGGACGCACAGTAAAGATTATGTTGGTGACGGTGTATCCATTTATCTTTGCCAGAAACAAGCACTTCCAATATCTAATCTAGTTCTGGGTACCACCAGCTTTGACACACCTTTGACACACACACACACACACACAC